AGATATCATCTTGGTGAAGGAATTCCTGAAATTCCTGAATAATTTCAGGATTCACAGCTTGCCTGGTAAATGTCAGTCCATCTTGAGGGACACCACCCCTGCCAAAAAATATGGCATGTACTCTAGCAGCTGTGATGGTGCTTTTTGAGCAATGGAAATACGATTGCAGCACTGATTGGCTAAAATCCCATGCCACAATCGAAAGAAGTCTTCGTTGTTCATCACTGCACTTGCTTACTTGTCCAACAACTTTCGCCATCTCCGTTCTACTCTTTTTTCCCTGAATGTCTGCCCCATTTACTTCCAATTTGCTTTCTTTCATACTCATGCCAATCAATAACTTCTGAGAAACTTTTGCTCTCTGAACACAAATTAGCTTGCTGGTTTCCTGGTCTTTGGATTCCATGTAATCTTTTGCCAATGATCTCAAAAATTTATTGTCATTTCCAGTTTGAGAATGCCTTTGAAACAAATCTTTATAATTGGTCTGGAACTTTTTATACTGAATAATGTCTCATTATAGCGTGAGCTCCAACCTCACTGAGAGAAGTGTAGCCTGTCACAATATTCTCTATTTTATCTAAGATTTCATTTCGTAGGTCTTGTTTTCGCCGTTCTTGAAGTGCTTTGTAGCTGAATCGAAGATTTGTCTGTTTAGGACACTGACATGCTTTGTCTTGTGGAAGTGCTGCAATGTCCAAAGCTGGCAATTCATTAGCCGCTGCCTCCACATCAACATCAAAAAGATTTTGACCCCCGTTTTGATATGGACCATTGTTGAAGAACTGCGATTCCTCTTCTGGTGCATCTATCGCAGCCTAACAAAATATTTTGAGCTTTTAGTATTCTGAAAATACTGGTCTTTCACAGGCAGGAGAAACTTCAAGTATCAGTAAGATTTGGAAAAACAATGGGTGCGAATTTCTCAAAATTTAGTACAGCTTACCTCAAGTGTTTCGCATCTCCTTTGAAGCTTAATTCTGTCCAGGCAGAAACTACAAATCTTCCTTTTTCGTTCTTTGTGTCCAGAAATACTAAACCTTCCTATAGCACAGAACTTTTCCTAGGCATAAGTTGTTTGAAACATCTCTTTGATTCTCGCATCTCCGTGACCCCATTCCGCATGATACGGACAACAACAAAGCTTTTTGAAGGGCATTCAAGATGGTTTACCAACAATTAAATACTATGAAATTGATTTCTGTATAATAAAAAACTCTGATAGACTGTAGTATATTCAGTTCATAAATATAAGGTGAAGATTTTTGCTTTAGATGTCCAGGGAAGCACCTTTTCGATCGCAAACCAAAATGGCGTCGCGTGTGATACATCACAGTTTAGTCTCTAACTTTTGATTGGCGCATAGAACAATGCCCAAATTTGGCAGAGAGATCGAGATCAAGGGCATGGGGAGGAAGAAGTCCAACAAAGCCATTTTTTCATTTTTTTTCCCATCTTTTTTTGACATTTTTCTTCGTTCGCCAATCAGATGCCTTGATTAGAGTGAAGTTAAAAATTAATATTTTGTAGCTTTTAATTACTTTTGCCACTGGGCTGCCTGCTTTTTAGGTGGACCATTACTTAAACAAAGAATTAAAAATGTTGACTGAAAACCCAAGGGAATGCTTCATTTTTCCTCCTCTACTAGTGTAAATTTACATACATACATACATAC